TGACATGTCTGTGTGATGCCATCTGCTGGCAATAAGGGGGATATTCAGTACTCTGATTTCTTTAACTTCTATCCCTGTTGCCAAGTAAGGCTATGAGTGTGTGTGAAGAGATGGAAACGGGGATACACCAGTCGCCAGCGAAACTAAAAGAGAATTAAATCCTGTTGATCCTGTCACTTTTCATAATGCAACATTTTTCTTTTTTCTACTCAGAAATCTCCTTCCCCTAGTTTCTCTCGTCCTTCCCTTTTCCTTTTGTCTCTTCTTGTGTCTTTTCTGTTCCACTGTCACACAGCCCTATGCCCAAGTACCCTATTATCCATCCCGTGCACACTGCTCACATTCCAGTCCCCTTTCTACTTACACAGCCTTCCATACAGACCCACCTCTCTATCTCTCTTCCACTCATCCACCCCTCCCACCCCCTTCCCCAAGCTCCCAGGCAGCTCCTGGGAGGTTCAGACAGCCCTTGGCTCTCTTTGATTTCATTGGGCACTGAAGTCACTCAGTGCCTCAGAGGAGCCCCTCAGCCCTTTGCAGGATTGTCCCTTCTTGACCAGAGAATATTGGGAACGCAACCTGTCTCTGGCGTCATTTGTCACGGTGGAAACTGCATGGGCATAAATAAATATCATTTGCGTGGCTGACATTTTGTATCTATAACTATTGCTGAGCTGGTCACACCCAGACAAACAGCACCTGATCCTGTTGGCACAGTCTGAACTGCAGGTGGGGAGGGGCAGCAGTTACACTGGCAGTGTGATTGTCTCTGCAGAAATCTGCATTCGCAGACACCCAGAGCAGGGAGGTTTTTGTATTGGTCTGTATCACTGTGAGAAGTGATCTGTACCACTCAAAACAACAGTAGTAACCTGCTGCATCATCGGCTTCAACGCTGCTGATTGTGAGAGTGTAAACGGTGCCAGACCCACTGCCACTGAACCGGGCTGGGACCCCGGACGCAAGGGAGGAGACTTGATAGATAAGAAGTTTAGGAGCTTGTCCGGATTTCTGTTGGTACCAGGATACGTAGTTACTGTTGATGCTAGAACTGGCTGTACGAGTGATGGTGACTTTTTCTCCCGGAGACACTGAGAGGGATTCCGGAGACTGAGTTATAGTGACCTCCCCATAGGAGTCTGCATTAAATATGAAATATAAATAAATACAGAGAAAAGGTCATTGATAGTGAGCAACAATAAATAATAAGTGATTGACATTTGCATCTTAAGACAATGGTATGAAATGTATCACATAATACAAGAGGTTCACTATTGTATTCAAACCATATTTGTGATGAATTACATTTTTAATAGCCAATCTAGCTACAATGTTTTGAATTTTTAAAATTTAAATGGATCATTGTACTTTTAAGCCAGTGCCGTCCGGTTCTGATTCTTACCTGGAATCCACAGCACCAGTAACCAGAGAAGCTGAGCCTGGGAGAACATCTTGGTGTGTCTGATCTGGCAGGTGTTGCTCAATGAACCGTGGAGAGTGGAACAAAATCTTTTATAGCCCTTCAGAGCAACAGGGCAGCGTCACTGGGGAGTTCACATGCAAAGCAGCCCCTGTGTGCGGGATCCTGGTCTCCCTGCTCTGACTAGATGTAGAGCTGGTCTCGAGGTCCCTTCCAGTTCTAGAATCTATGAATCTATGTTCTGGACAAACAAAAAATGACTTCAGATTAAGGTTGCGCCTTCATTCCCCGACTTACACACCAGCTGTGAAAGAATGCGGGAGCTAAAACCTGAAGGACCTGATCTCAAAGCTCATTGAAGACTATGGGAGATTTTCCTCTGACTCCAGTGGGCTTTGGATCAAGCCCATAATTCATAAAGCTGTGGAGACTCTCTGAAGATTGTCAATAAACATGAATTCTCATTAGCTGACAGTTAATTAGTAGATGTTCTAACTGATTAGAGACTCTGTGGAACACTTGTGTATTCACTGCAAATTAGAGCATTTTGACGATCTATGGAGATCCATGATTTGCCATGGATTACAATTCAGTGGCTGTTGTGATTTCCTCATTGATGATGTGTCTGTGATTAGTTCTGTTTGAACTAGGGCTGTGCTGCAATTCAGCTGCCAGATCCTGATATTTGGCTACTTCCCAGTAACTTTTCAAGCACCTGTTTGAGGTGGATGGGTAGGAGGAGGCACCCGCCTGTCCCTGGGATAGCTGTGGCATGGCCAGTGTGGTCATTGTTTTTTCTTCTTCCTCCTGGCTGGACCGTGTGCTGGAGAAGGAAGGGTATTTACGAGAAGGCTCCGCTTCTTTTTGGTCTATCCCCATGACACCAGCTTTTTTCTTGTCCTCTTCTCCTTGTGGGCTGTTTTATTCACACCGTTTCCCAGCTGTTCCTCTCTTACCTGCCTTTCCAATGACAAACCAACCACCTGCTGCTGCGTGAACCGAAGAACCCTGGAAGACTGTAGCTTGTCGATAAGCCTGTAGGGGGTCCGATCCAACGCCCATAGAACTCAATGGGGACAGTCCTGTTAACTTCATTGAGCCTAGGATCGGGCTCAAAGAAGCAGATTTTCAAAAGAGCTCAGCTCCCATTTAAGCATCTAAATATGGGCCACCCAGCTTCTTCTACTGAGCCACGTATGGCCAGATTTTCAGCAGATCTCAGCATCCAATTTGGTGAGCTCTCTGGGACATGTATTTTGTCCCTAAATAGGAGATGATTTCTTTGGAAAAAACTGGCCCATATTTATTAATTATTATCATTGTTATTTGTATTGCTGTAATGCCTCGGGGCCATGGATCAAGGCCCCTTTGCACTAGGTGCTGCACAAGCATTGGTTTTCTCATTCCTCCCTCTTGCAGTTTGTCTTTTAAAAGGATCGCTCGGCCTGTCTCACCAAACTTTACTTAACAGAGTCATTTAGAGTTAGGTTTTCCCTGAGCTCTCTGTGTGGAGCACTTGGAGGAGAGGAAGGTGATCAGGAACAGTCAACATAGACTCACCAAGGGCAAGTCATGCCTGACTAACCTGATTGCCTTCTATCATGAGATAACTGGCTCTGTGGATATGGGGAAAGCAGTGGAAGTGATATATCTTCACTTTAGCAAAGCTTTTGATATGGTCTCCCACAGTATTCTTGCCAGCAAGTTAAAGTAGTATGGGCTGGATAAATGGACTATAAGGTGGATAGAAAGCTGGCTAGATTGTCAGGCTCAACGGGTAGTGATCAATGGCTCAGTGTCTGGTTGGCAGCCGGTATCAAGCGGAGTGCCCCAGGGGGTCGGTCCTGGGGCCGGTTTTGTTCAACATCTTTATTAATGGTCTGGATTATGGGATTAATTGCACCCTGAACAAGTTCACAGATGACACTAAAATGGGGGAGAGGTAGATACGCTGGAGGGTAGGGATAGGGTCCAGAGTGACCTAGACAAATTGGAGGATTGGAGGCCAAAAGAAATCTGATGAGGTTCAACAAGGACAAGTGCAGAGTCCTCCACTTAGGAAGAAAGAATCACATGCACCACTACAGGCTAGGGACCGACTGACTAAGCAGCAGTTCTGCAGAAAAGGACCTGGGGATTACAGTGGACGAGTAGCTGGATCTGAGTCAGCAGTGTGTCCTTGTTGCCAAGAAGGCCAACGGCATATTGGGCTGTATTAGTAGGAGCATTGCCAGCAGATTGAGGGAAGTGATTATTCTCCTCTATTCGACACTGGTGAGGCCACACCTTGAGTATTGCATCCAGTTTTGGTCCCTCCACTACAGAAAGGATGTGGACAAATTGGAGAGAGTCCAGCGGAGGACAATGAAAATAATTAGGGGGCTGGGGCACATGTCTTACAAGGAGAGGCTGAGGGAACTAAGCTTGTTTAGTCTGCAGAAGAGAAGAGTGAGGGGGGATTTGATAGCAGCCTTCAACTATCTGAAGGGGGGATCCAAAGAGGATGGAGCTAGGCTGTTCTCAAGTGGTGGCAGATGACGGAACAAGGAGCAATGGTTTCAAGTTGCAGTGAGGGAGGTCTAGGTTGGATATTAGGAAACACTATTTCATTGGGAGGGTGGTGAAGCGCTGGAATGGGTTACATAGGGAGGTGCTGGAATCTCCATCCTTAGAGGTTTTTAAGACCTGGCTTGACAAAGCCCTGGCTGGGATGATTTAGTTGGGGATTGGTCCTGCTTTGAGCAGGGGGTTGGACTAGATGACCTCCTGAGGTCTCTTCCAACCCTAATAGTGTATGATTCTATGACAGTAGAAGTGACAGTGGGAGGTGTTTGCAGGGTTGTTGTGGCAGACAGTGATTTCATTAACTTCCTGTTTCTGAAATCTATGAAGCTGACTGTTCACATGCAGCTGCGAGAAATGCTCAGCACTGTGCACTGAGAGGGAGGTTTTTGTATTGGGCTGTATCACTGTGAGAGGCCAGCTATTATACTGCTGGCAGTAATAATCCCCAGCATCATCAGCTTCAACCCTGCTGATTGTGAATGTGTAGTCAGTGCCCGACCCACTGCCACTGAACCGGTCTGGGATGCCCGTGGGACGGCTGCTGGTGGCATAGATAAGAAGCTTGGGAGCCTGTCCAGGTTTCTGTTGGTACCAAGCGATGTTGTTGCTAATGCTTGCACTGGCTTTGCATTTGATAGTGACGGTCTCTCCCACAGACACTGAGAGAGATTCTGGAGTCTGAGTCATCACAGTCTGTCCATTGGAACCTGGAGAGAGAAAATAAAAATTTGCAGGGTTGGGTAAATGGGACAACGACATTAAAAAAACTTTACACTGAAACATTTGTAAAGTGAACTAGAAAATACCCCAGGAACCAGTTTTTAAATAAGCAAACCACTGCCATTTTGGATGGTTTGTCTCATTCCTTATTAATTCTTTGAACATTGTCTGTTTCTTACCCTGAATCCAGAAAAGCAGCAGCCAGAGAAGGGGAATCTTTGAGATCATCTTGCTTCTGTGTGGCTGTAAATGTTTGTCAGTGAAGCATGTCATGGAAATGGAACCATTTATGTGTTCAGCAGCTCAGTGAGGGACCATCAGCCATGTGTGAATATGCAAAAAGAGCCCAGTTATGTAAATGAGCAGATGTTAATACCAGGGAGGAGCTTTGAGCTGTCCGATTGATGGTTTCAGTCTGTCATTGGCTGTATTAACTACAACATATTTGCATGGTTCAGATGGTAAAGCAGCCAGAGTTAGCTTGACAAACACAGGGGGTAACAACAGCTGTTTGATTAATGAAGAGTAACCGAGCAGGCTGCAGGTTGTAACACAAGTAAGAAGAGCTAAAATCATTCAGCCATTTACTGTGTGTGGGTTTACATCCAATCAGCTGAGTCTGTTTCATAGAATCATAGAATATTAGGGTTGGAAGGGACCTCAGGAGATCATCTAGTCCGACCCCCTGCTCAAAGCAGGATCAATCCCCAACTAAATCCCCAAATGGCCTCCTCAAGGATTGAACTCACAACCCTGGGTTTAGCAGGCCAACGCTCAAACCACTGAGCTATCCCTCCCCCCTTTTGAATTCATTAATCTTATAACACATTTTCCTTTTATTTAAGGGCCAGGTTACTAAAAGCAGTGGCGCCAGCAGCTCCGTGCTTCTCTGCAGCGGCACCAGTGGCTGCATGCACTTTGCACCTCCAGAATGATGGATGTTCTCGACGGCTTGAAGGGTGCACACAGGCAGGCTGAAAATGAGGTTTGGGAAGAGCTCACCCAAGCATGCTCAGATTTTGAGTGCAAGTGCAGCACAGAAAAGTTGAAAAGTGGCATCAGCGTGCCAGGCTCCAGCACTTCCCATTGTGTCCGTGCCCCTACCCCCTCTACCTCTGTGACCTGGTAGGTGCCCAAGCCTGAGAGTTGCAGGGAACTGTGTGAGAGGAGCAGGGGGACCTCCAGACCTCTCTCCTTCTAGCCCTTTTACCGTGCCCGCTCCGACCCCAGCAGCTACCTCTTCTGGGTGGGTGTGGCCAGCCCAGCAGCCCCCAGGAAGCTGACTGAACACCACCTTCCTTGGCTCCTGCTGGCTTGTGCTAACCAGAATCCGTCTGAGTATGTTCGCAATCAATGCTGTTCTGGAACAGGCCAAGCATGTTCTGTGTGGCTGCCCCTACTGCCCTGCCCATTGGGCCATATCCTTCCTCTGCAGCTTCCACATCCAGCCTCCCCCCATCCCCAACTCTGTTGAAAATCCTATGTGTGCCTGCTTGTGTCTCAGGGTTCAGCTGCATTCGGTCTTGGAGAATCTGGACAGGTCTGGGAGAATCTGGACCACAAAGTCTTACCCTACTCTGCAAACAGTAGACACAGCCATTTACAAATCCCTAGATTAGTATAATTTCCCTAGGTTAATAATGATTGAAACCTTTCCAGTGGGATTTTAGTGAGGATCTATTCCAGTGAAAGGAGACACCCAGGCCATTGTAGAAATGTATTTACAATAGTAGAGCAAGTTGAATTTTTTCTGATGGAACAGCTTTCCTTCAAAAAATGTGGATTTGACAAAATCCAAACATACTCTGGGAATGCATCAGTTATTCTGAAAATGATAAAAATGATTCATTTTGACAAGATCAGAACATTTCCTTTGAATGTGGTTCAAGTGTTTTGATTTTGTAATCGTTTTGACATGTTATATTTTATATTGATAACATAAAGGTCAAGTAGATGAAGTTTAAATCAAAATGAAACATTGCTTTGATTTTTCCCAAAATGAAATTTTGGAATTTCCATATCACAGGAAATGTTGAAATTTCAAATTGTCATGCCGATTCACAACAAGCCCCCCTCCACCTTCCCAAAATTTGGAATTTCTCACCATATGAGAATTCCTGTTTCTTATCAGCGCTCTGTAACGGAATTAAGTCATTTTGCTAGAAGATAGAAACATTCAAGACTGAAAGATAGAAGGTGTAACAGCTGTTTGGAATGACTTGTATTGAAACTCAAGTAAGTGTGTCTGTTGCACTGGGGTTCAAGACTGGGAATAAAGCAGCATAAACTGTAGTAAATCTCAGGCATCTGTAAATTCTAGTATCTATGTGATTATTCAAACAATTTAGCTCTTTCAGCTTTCTCCTTTTGGCTGTGTGTTCAGAGATGAAAAACGTTACGCTCTTCCTTCGCACTTCATAAAATGTGAAAAATTGACAGTTGTATCTGCAGGAAGCAGTAACTGCAATGCACGCTGCAGAGAGCAGGGAGGTTTTTGTATTGGTCTGTATCACTGTGAGAGGTAAGCTGCTAGTCTGGTGGCAGTAATAATCACCAGCATCATCAGCTTCTACGCTGCTGATTGTGAATGTGAAATCAGTGCCAGACCCACTGCCACTGAACCGGGCTGGGACCCCCGACTGGAGGGTGCTAGCGCGGTAGATAAGAAGTTTGGGAGCTTGTCCAGGTTTCTGTTGGTACCAGTGTAAGTAACTGCCAATGCTCGTACTGGCTTTGCAGTTGATAGAGACTCTCCCTCCCACTGGCACTGCCAGAGATTCCGGGGACTGAGTCATCACAATTTGCCCAGCGGAGTCTGGATAAAGAGAGAAGATGGGAAGGGAATGAACAATGACACAATGCTGGAGATGACAAGTGTTCAGACGCTGAAACACAGTTTGAATTTTCCAATGTGAATTTATACTAAAATACAACAGTAGAATATTAATTAAATAAGTTGGACTGACAGCATTTCTGATCTGTCACACTGATGTGTGACATTTTCAAAAATTGTATTTATTAATTTCTTACCCTGAATCCAGAGAACCAGCAGCCAGAGAAGGGGCGTGTGTGAGATCATCTTGCCTGACCGTGGTTGGAAAAGCTCGTTCATAAGTGAGCCGTGGAAAATGAAATGTTTATATGTGCTCAGCAGCTCAGTGAGGACACCTCACCCCTATGCAAAATGCATGTAAATTTACTGCACTTTTAGTTTCAGCCCAGAGATGTGAAATGTTCATATTTGGCTTATTTCCTGCTGCTCTTCTATTTTACAATGATATTGTGTTTTCCTAGATTCAGATGCTATATATACAGATGTCTTTGCAGATCTTGCTTATATTTGACCAGATTTGACAGGTCTCTCCTAAATATTCACTTGGGCTGTGCCACCGGAGTCTGGGCATGGGCCTTCATTTTACCCTCTCCCTCTGAACACACTCTGGATGTCATTGATTTCATGCCCTAGGAAGACACCTTGTCTTTCTTAGACAAAGCAGGGATTCCCAAATGGCTGGGCTTCCCCACAACATCACCCCCAAGGTGTGTCTATTAGCCTGAGAGCTCTCGCTATAGAAGAGCTAAAGAACCTAGGGCCTCATTTACAGATGTGCTGAGCACCAGCATCCCCAGTACAAGTGAATAGAAGCTGTAGGTGCTTGGCCTCTATATAAGAATGGCCATACTGCGTGAGACCAATGGTCCATCCAGCCCAGCATTCTGTCTTCTGACAGTGGCCAATGCCACATGCTTCAGAGCACAGGAACAGAACAGGGCAATTTATTGAGTGATCCATCCCCTGACTTCCAGTCCCAGCATCTGGCAGCTAGAGGCTTAGGGACACTCAAATCACAGGTTTGCCTCCCTGACCTTCTTGACTAATAGCCATTGATGGACCTGTCCTCCATGAACTTATCTTCTTCTTTTTAGTACCCCATCATAATTTTGGACTTTTTTTGTTTTTGTTTTTAAACCTGCTGCCTATTAATTTCATTGGGTAACCCCCCTGGTTCTTGTGTTATGTGAAGGGGTAAATAACACTTCCTCACTCACTTTCTCCACACCAGTTATGATTTTATAGACCTCTATTATATCCCTCCCAGATAATCAGGCTCTATATCAGATGCATGCAGCTTCAATCCAGTATGGAGCGAATCGTCTGGGTGCTAATCATTTTGGCCTTGACAATTCCTCCTCTCCTCTCCTCTCCTCTCCTCTCCTCTCCTCCCTTTTCCTGTTTTCACCTTCCTTCAAAAATGTTATCTCTTTCCATTATAATCTTTCCTCTTCTATCCAAGGGCCATGGAAGATAGTACTATCAATATTACACAAATGTGACAGAGAATGTGAAATCAGTGCTATATCCACTGCCACTATACCGGGCTGGAACCACCGTAGGGCAAGAAGAAGCTTAATAGATAATGGGTTTAGGAGCTTTTTCAGACATTTGTTGGTACCAGGCTATGTCAGCAGTAACACGTGAACTGGCTTTGCAACTGATAGTAACACTTTTACCTTCACTAACTGAAAGGGATGCTGGGGACTGAGTCATCACAGTCTCTCCACTGGTGTCTAGAAACATAAAATCTGCGCATGCCACATTTTTAAAATGTAAATTTCACATGATTATTGGTGCTACGAATTGTGTCCCACACCAGATAAACCCACCTGCCTTTTTAAAACTTCATCTTTTTGTTCTTTCTTACCCTGAACCCAGAAAAAAAAAGAAAAGGCATATGTATAAAATCATCTTGACTCTTCTGGGTGACAAGAAGCTCAGAGCCCTGCAGTGAAATCTATAATACAACCTGGTAGAGGTATAACCCCACTCAGAGCAGTGAGGAAATGGCACTTTGGTGTGAAAATGCAAAGAGACCAAGCTATGTAAATTGCCTCTGAGTTTCAGGGTAGTCTGGAAATGTTTCTTTTCTTAAACCACCCCCTCCCAGGGGCTATTTTAAAATAAGCCCAGAAAAATTACAACACAATCCTGAGAAAGGACATGGAAGTCCTTTTAGGTTTAGCTTGGCATGTTTCTAATCAGAGGGCTCCTTTCTACAAACAGCCAAGTTCATTCTTTAATGTGTACATGTTATTAAAGATACTGTACAAGCCAAAACATTCAGCTCCCCCCAGCAGCTCCAGGATAGTAGAATCATTGGAGAGAAAGGTAGAAAATTTCAATAGGAATTTTAGCCTCTCTTATGCCTTTGCATGGTCTCCAGTGCTCTGTCCAATCCAATTTTGAATAGTGGTAATGATGGATCTGGTTTAGGTCAAGCGCAGTAAACTGTATAGAACATCTCCATTAATGGATTGAAGTCCACTGTTTTATGCTTTCATGCATAAGAAGCAAAATAAAATAAAATAAAAAGTTGTATTTCAGTTAATAATCCCTTGCACTGTGCACTAACATTTAAAAATGCTTTAAAAACATTAACAAATCATGTCTTCCAACACCCGTTAAGGGAAGGAAATTACCACATCTGTTTTTTATAGATGGAAAACCCAGGCATGTAGAAGTTGTGTTTTGGCCAAGGTTAGTGAGTGAGTTAGAGACCAGGCTGGGGTTAGATCCCAATTCTCCTGACTCTCAGTTCTTGCATTAACCACTAGACCATGCCATCTCCCTGGGATTCCATTTTGGGGATCTCATGCAGTCCTGAACGGCCCATAGTCAGATATCAACACAATGACGTGTGTTCCTACTTGATATGGTGGCGCTGGCCAGGGGGCAGGGATTATTTGGGGGATGCGCAGTATGAGACCAGATCAACAACACATCCCCTGAGCCAAGTGTTTGCTCGTTCACTAAGAGCTGACTAAACAGAAAGCACAGCTCAACCTTAACTATAGCACAGCTGGCATGTCAGTATAATGAAAGAATCTGTTCAGCTATGGTCTCCATGCTGATAGTGGTCTACAGTCCGGCATTTACAGTGTATAGAGTCTACCCCACATCACCAAGTATTTATTGCTTTGCCAAACTGACTGATAAGCAGGAAGTTGTATCTGTTTTCCTGTGGCTTTTGTTAGTCCATCTTGTGTGGGTTGGGATCTGGAAGAGAAATGAGCAGGGTCCAGCTAGTCCAAGTGCAGTGACACCCAGATAATTCAGGAGTTTATGCAGGAGGTTGGGATCTAGCTCTCTCCTTTAAACTGAACCCTCCAAGATACTCCTTATTAGACATGTACTCAATAGTATCAGATCAAAGTCAAACCAGCTTGTTGATTCTGAAATCATCCAGCCTGAAATCGCTAGAAGTAGAAAGAAAATACACAGCATTGACAATATTGTGAAATGTACTTTAAATCTACTAGAAGTTAAAGATAGCAGTAATTGTGTGTTACATTGCATAACTCAACAGACTGTTCTCAGTGTTCATATTTTCATTCTTCTACCTCCAACCCAGAAAAATAACATCAAGAAAAGCTTTTCATATGGAATTACATTGGCCATGCTGAGTGACCAGGAGCTCAGAGCCCTGCAGTGAAATCTGAAGTACAATCGGACAGATTTATAATCCTTGCTCAGAGCATGAATAAAATGACACTGGGGTATGAATATGCAGAGACTGAGCAATGTAAATTGTCTCTGAGGTGTAGGGTATATGCTGAAAATGCTGATATTTGTGGATCATCAGAAGCCAGGGTTTGCGTCTAGAGCAGAATTTAATCAAGCACAGTCCGGAGAAAATGAAAACGGACCCTTTCAAATGACACTAAAATCCTCTGTCACACTGCTCCTTTCTACAACATCCACATCCCCGTTTAGTTATTTCTGTGATGCATTCTTGAGTCTAAGAAGGAAAATAAAAATATAACAGAGCCTAGTTACATTCATGACTGACCTCAGCCAAGCTTTTAAAATCTCCATCGTAGCCCAAACTTTATAATATCATAGACATCAGAGATATAAAGACCTCTGCAGAGTTACTTTCCACTCTAGTGTTAAACATCTTAGCTGACAGAGCTGTCTTCCAGTAAATGCTCTCATACAGTAGTAATTAGCAAAGCCATTGAGCTGATTGTGCTGTTTCATATAAAGGGAGCTCCATTAACGTGAGTGGAGCTGTCTTGATCTACACCAGCAGGGGATGTGGCCCATTGAAACAAGAATTTTGGCCCTGGTTTAATTTTTAAAATAATATGATTGGATCCTCGCTCTATGGAATGAATCTTGCACACAGCTGTGGAAAATTGGTTTTTACAGCTGCTTCTGCTGTTTTGGACTGGCGTGCTCAGTGTGAAGATGGGCTGTAATTTCTTTAGTGGGGTTTACAAGAAAAGCCAGCTATAAGAAATCTTCAGTACGTGGGATTTTATTACAGTTAGACGTTCTGTGAACTGGATTACTGGGTCTCTCTGTGGCTGATTGGTGAGAGACCTTCAGAGACTGAAAGGACAAGAATCTCTGAAGAGATTCACTGTTCATAAATGCACAGGTTATGCCCATTGGTTTAGGTCAGTGTAGTTCCACTGAAATCAACAGAGCTCTGCTGATTTGCACCAGCTGGGGACCTGGACAGGAAATCACCTGATTCAGATTAGAATGTCACTTCGGTGGACTTTTTAAGTCAGCTGCTCTGCCTCTTTATCCTGGGTGGACTTTAAAGCTGCCCTTCCCTCTCTTTCTCCTTTCATTTTTCTCTCCTTGTTTCCCCTACTCTCTGAGATGGCCACTGTATGGGTGTACCAGGGCATTCTGGAATCAAATATTGTTTCTGTTCTTTAGGAACGAGCCCGTCTTTTCTTCTTGCACTGGTTTCTTATTTTTTACTATTAATTGTATCAAGCATGCTGCACTTTTATGGAGGACTGAAAAACGAACTGAGGTTCTTCGACTCTAGTCCACCTAGTAGTAACTAAGAGAGAAAACATCAAAGGCTGATGTAATTATTGACACTGAAGCGGGCGTAGCAGATGTTTAGATGGTTCTATACATGAAGCAGATGTTCTAATGAGCAAAACTAACTGAACAGAAGACGCTGGATGAGATAGTGTCTTTTACTCTGAGCACAGGCTGTTAGGATTAGACGATTGCCGTTTTCCAGTGTGGATGCTTTACAAAGCTGAGGTATTTCGTCAAGTCAGTAGAAAGGTGCTTGGATTGTAACCTGCTGTCAGTAGGAAGTTGGATGCAGCCCATAAGAGCAAATCTGAACCCACGGTGTGAGCACCTGTAAGGACCAGAAGTTCTTGTGTGTGGAGGGCGGTGACTGAAGTCTGACACATCCACCCACCCTACTGCAGGGGAGCAGAGATAACAATGTAACTGCACAGGAAGCACCTGAAATACTGAGTGTGAGTCTGAATCTAAACAGCAGGGAGGTTTTTGTGCTGGTCTGTATCACTGTGTGAGAGGGTCACTGTTATACTGCTGGCAGTAATAATCTCCAGCATCATCTGCTTCAACCCGGCTGATTGTGAATGTAAAATCAGTGCCAGACCCACTGCCACTGAACCGGTCTGGGACCCCAGTGTAACGGGAGGTAGCAGCATAGATAAGAAGCTTAGGAGCTTGTCCTGATTTTTGTTGGTACCAGGCCATCCAGCTGCTAGCACTGGAACTGGCTTTGCAGTTGATGGTGACTCTGTCACCAGGAGACACTGCCAGGGATTCTGGAGTCTGAGTCAGCACAATCTGCCCACTGGAGTCTGGATTGGAGAAAAAAATTGGTATAAAAAGAAATGTAAAATCCTTCAATATCAGAATAATTAACACTACAAAGCTGCATCTCTAGGAGTTTAGCCTGGAGCTCTCTTTCTGCTAACACTGTAAATGCTGCTAGGAATGATTGCTGGAAAGGGAAATATTTTAGTATTTAAATCCTAGAAAAATATTATAACTTTTCTTTTAAACAAATCCTCCTGTGTGGTTGTTCTTACCCTGAATCCAGAACACAAGAAGCCAGAGAAATTGAGTCTGGGAGATCATCTTGATACGTGAGGAGTGACAGATACCAAGTTCAGAAGCACAAAGTATGAAGGTGACATTTATATCTGCTCTGAACAGCCAGGAACTGTCACTCGGGTGGAAATATGCAAAGCAGCATCTCTGTGTAAATGTCCATTCCCTCTGCAGACCCAGGGCCACGTTTACACCTCAGTCTGGTAACGCATCTCCCATTCCTGGCAGTGAGGGATGCCCAGATGGGTCAGGCAGGGGATGGTCTTTACAATCAGTGGGCCCAGAGTGTCCTGGAGCTTTTCCTGATCAAGGAGCCCAGCACTGGGCTCAGTTTGTTCACAAGCTCAGTGGCATCCGGTGTCTGTGTCACTAGTAACATCCAACTCTCATGGCTTATTTAGTGCTTTGATCCCAGTGTTCACTCAGAGAGCAATTTCACGCATTGATTATTAGGATGCTAGTTAATTAGTTCATTAATTAGTTCATCTTTACACAGTGCTTTGAAAAATTGCAGGTCTGCTTAAGGACTACATATTATTATAATTGACAGATTCCCTTGTAATGTCTGTCATTGAATACAGACAGGGAGGTAATAAATTCATAGATTCCAAGGCCAGAAGGGACCATTTTGGTCACCTAGTCTGACCTCCTGCATAATGCAGGTCATAGAACTTCCGCAAAATAATTCCTAGAGCAGAGCTTCTAGACAAAACATCCAAGTGTGATTTAAAAATGGTCAGTGATGGAGAATATACCATGACCCTTGGTAAATTGTTCCAATGGTTAAGTACTGTCACCGTTAAAAATTTACACTTTATTTCCAGTCTGCGTTTGTCTAGCTTCAACTTCCTGCTATTGGATCATGTTAAACCTTTCTGGGCTAGATTGCGGAGTCAATTATTATAGAGTGTGAGAAGTCAGCCCTTAACCTTTTCTTTGTAAAGCTAAGTAGATGGAGCTCTTTGAATCTGTCATTATAAGGCAGATTTTCTAATTCTTAAATCGTTCTCGTGGCTCTTCTCTGAACCATCTCCAATCAACATCCTTCTTGAAGTGTGGCTACTAGAACTGGAGACTAGTCCAGCAGTGGTCACTCCAGGGCCAAATATGGAGGTAAAATAACCTCCCTACTCCTACTTCAGATTCCCCTGTTCATACATCCCAGAATTACTTTAGCTTTTTTGGCTCCAGCGTCACACTGGGAGCTCATGTTCAGCTGATTATACGTTTAGCCATATTAAAATGTGAATTGTTTGCTTGTGCCCAGTTTACTTAACAATCCAGATCACTCTGTGTCAGTTCCCTGTCCTCTACATTATTTACACTCCACCAGTTTTTGTGTCATCTAACCTTTATTAGTGATGATTTTATGTTTTCTTCCAGGTCATTGATAAAAAATTAAAATTAACAAAGGGCCAAGAACCAAGCCCTGTGGGACCCCACTGGAAAAACACCCCCTCTATGATGATTCCACAATATACAGTTGCATTTTGAGACCTATCAGTTAGCCAGTTTTTAATCCATTTAATGTATGCCATGATAATTTTATACAGTTCTATTTTTTTAAATCAAGATGTTTTGCGGTTCCAGGTCAAATGCCTTACAGAAGTCCAGTTATATTACAACATAATTACATTTATCAACCATTCTTGTTATCGCATTAAAAAAAAAGATACCAAGTTAATTTGACAGGAGCTATTTTCCACAAACCCATGTTGATTTGCATTAATTACATTACCTTCCTTTATTTTTTGTTAATCAAGCCCTGTATGAGCTGCTCCATTATCTTGCATGGGATCGATATCAGGCTCACAGGCCTATAATTACCCGGATCATCCCTTTTACCCTTTCTAAAAATTGGTTCACATTGGTTGACTTCCAGTCTTCTGGAAATTCCCCAATGCTCCAACACTTTTTGAAAAATCAACATTAAGGGTTCAGCAATCTCCTCAGCAAGCTCTTTTAAAACTCTTGGATGGAAATTATCTGGACTTGCTGATTTACAAATGTTTAACTTTAGTAGCTTCTGTATAACATGGCTTCTGAGATACTAGTGGAATGGAAAGTGTTATTAACATACAATGAAACGATATCATCTGTTTTCCCCAAATATGGAACAGAACTATTTATTGAACCCTTCAAACTTTTCTGTATTATTACTGATAATTCTACTATTTCCATCTAGTAATGGACCAATATTATTCTCAGAATTCTTATTGTTCCTAATATATTTTAAAAAAAACTTGCTTATTGTCCTTAACTGTGGTGACCATAGATTTCTAATTATATCCCTTTGCTTCTTTTATTAATTTTCTACAATTCCTAACTCGGATTTATAGTCATCAGCTCCTTACTTTCTATTTGTTATATATTTTTATTTAATTTTTTTATAGTTGCGTTCAATTCCCCCTCTAAAACAGGTCAGTTTTTTTAAGTAGTGAAGCCTTCTTTCTCAATTGTAGGATTGTGACTATATGGGCATCTAGTAAGGTGTTCTTAAATGATTCCCAATGATCATTCACATTTTTCTGATTAAATTCTTCCTTTTGCCTGATTTGGCTCATAATGGTATTCAACTTTGTGATATTGGCTCTGTTAAAGTACCAAGTGTATATATAACCAGTCTGGACTTCATTCTGCTTGAACATTATAAATATGATCAATTCAAGATCACTTGTCCCTAAGCTACTGTACATTTTTAGTTTTGTGCTCCATTCCTCTTTATCTGTTAAAACGAGGTCTAGTAAAGAATTCCCCCATGTTGGCTATAACGGGTTTTAACTTTAAGAGATTAAACTTGTTACTATGGTTGGTTGCAATGCCGCCCATCCCATTCCTCCCTAAGATCATTGAATGGCCATTTATAGCTGTTGTCTCCAATTCCTCTTCTCCAGCTCCCATCTGATCTGGTTTCTGCCCTTTCTGCTGCATAAACTGCTCTCCGCCTTTTCCTGGCCCAATCTCCATGCCCATGGTCCTTGATGTCTTGGCTGCATTTGACCCTGTTGATCTCCACACACATCACAGAAATCTTGTCCTCCCTAGGTTTTCATGATGTCACCTTGTCCTGGTTCTCCTCCTACCTCGCTCGTTCTTGCAGTGTCTAGTTTGGTTGGTCATCGTCCTTCCTTGTGAGAACCCCCAGGCTTCCATCTGTAGTGCCCTACTCTGATGCTTGGAATGTGTTTATACATTGTCTAGGGGCTGGGATCCCAATTCTGGGTGGGGCCTCTGGGTATTAACTGTACACTAATTGCTAAATTATAACATTAAAGTGTTTGTCATTGTGACGCATGACCAGAAAGTGTTAAGCATCCTGCAGGATAAATGACTCAAATTCAACTCTTAAAAAACACATGGGGATATAATGTTTGTGTTTTGGTGTATTTACATATATATTGGTAGAAGTCAACAATATCATCAAACAGTCCCTATCTATGCTGTATTCTGTTAATTCAGAGATCAAAAGAACATCTTAAATGAATGTTTAAATGAACACAGGATATTGCTGTATGCATCTCTCAAATGTATAGCAAATCATCTGCAAATGGTGGAAAAACAGGCAATTGCCTCATGTTAATTCGTGTAGCTAATTACCCATGATGCTTAGGAAATAGACCTACTTCAAAATTGCCCTGATTGCCTATTATTGGCCTAAGGACTCCCAACTGTCAAAGAAGGCCTGGAATTGTATAAAGGACCCTTGAGTCCTGATCCTGTCATCTCAGATCTGCTTGCAATTTCATGCAGGGGAAGCCTAAGCCATAAAGACTGAGATCCCAGTTCTGACTGGACCACCCTGAATATAAACACTGGACTATAACCTATGGACTAATTCTGAAAGAACTCTTTGCATCTACAAAACTCTCCATCTCTGCTACAAATCTGAATCTCAAGTTTGTACTCGTGTCTGTATGTATACTGTTCTTTTAACCAATTCTCTCTCCCTTTTCTTTGTTAATAAATTTTAGTTTAGTTAATAAGAATTGGCTGTAAGTCTGGAATATTCATTAACCTGGGAGGTAATGTGTCCAATCCTTTGGGATTGGTAGAACTTTTTTATACGATGAATAAGATTTTTAGAAATCCTCATCATACCTGACTTGGGTGTCTAGGTGGAGGCCTGGGGCTGGGTTTCTTTAAGGGAACCATTTTGTTGACTTCTGAGTAACAAATGAGATATAATAGAAGCCGTTTTGTGCTGGCTTGGTAAATCTAAGTATTGGAATATCCACCAGCTTTGGGGATTGCCTGTCCCATTCTTTGCAGTTCACCCTAATTGAGTGACCTCAGCTGGCTCCCCTGAACCTCCGGTCACAGTCATATATACACAGAAGACACCTCAGCTCTTACTGCCTTATTCCCTCCCCTAGTAGATTAATATACCAGATAACACATCATAATTGAACCCTGTGAGACCTTGCATAAGAAAGCCCACCAGGCAAGATGAGCAACTGCGAAAGACTGAGCCCTGTCAAAATGATAAGAAAGGGGCCTATGTCATGGTTTTTGGAGAATGTGATGTTACATTTTGCACCCCACAGACAGTATTATATAGAGCTGATTGTAAAACTCATATTTTCCTATGAAAATATTAACTGCAGAGGGCTGCAAGCAAAGTGTTCTGAGTTTAGTAACAAAGACAGCTTCCTCAACCAAACACAAAGGGACATGGATAACAGAAAAGAGAGAAGGTTAAAGGAATCAAAGAATGAGATGCTCCTTTGTTAGGTGGTAAGTGAGTGATTATTGTTGTCAGCTTTAGGGCTAAATTATAGCTCTTTCCTCAGGCAGGCAGAATCCCTGGTCCATCTGAGGTCAGGCAGGAAAACTGGACTGGAGGAGTGGTTGAGATGATGGATAAAATTCCCATCCCTTTGCCAAAGTGGAGAGGAGACAGCATCAGAGGAACAGGCAAAAAAGAAATCCAGGGATTATCTAAGGTAGGTTGTTAAACCAAAAAAACACCACGGCCTTTGCACTCATTAGACCCATAACGTGGAGTGGAAAATAAAATAAAAGTAAAGGATAGATGCAGCACAGAAAAAAACACAGCTGCTCGAGAACAACACTGTCTGTCTGTGCCAAGATCCACTCATGTGCCAACGAAATCTCTTGGTCAACATTGACAAAGGCTTGAATATGTAAAACCACATCGAGCTGTGGTTAGTTTACTGAGCATATTCTCTGTTTGGGAGCTGTTATTTTAACATATCTTCATTTGGGCCAAAATGATCATACCCTGGTGGGTGCCTAAATTAAGGCCCCTAAATCCATATTTGGCACAGAAGTAAAAATGGCCTCATTTTTTCAAAGGGGCTGAGCATCTTCAGCTTCCATGGATTTCAGTGCAGTTAGTGGGTGCTCAGCAGCTGTGGAAATCAAGTGTCCATACAGATTTAGTAGCCTAACTTCAGGCACCCAGGTTGGGAAGGGTTGGTCTCAGGTGTTGAATAGCAATGGGTGTGTTAGAAGAGAGAGTTTTCTTATGTCATTCTCCCCTATGAATCAATGGTGGAGTCATCTCCTGCATGATTTATTCCTTTTATATTCATGGACTGGAAAACCCTTTGGTATATATCTGTATATACTGGCATCATCCATCATATATGTATTGCACTGGAGTCACTTTGGTTTTTGTTCCTGTTTGTGGAAGTCTTGAGCACATTGCCCTTTGGGATATTTGGAGCTGATATTGAAGTTGAACAGAAAGAGAACTGGGTTTGTCAGAGGATCAGAGTTTTAACTTGGAGAATTGATTTGTGTACTGTTAATTAGAACGTCAGTGGTTGTTACATTAGGGTTATGGAAGCCATTTAAGGTTATACACAACATTTCAAATATTACAGCAGTTTGGTTGAGTTTTATGCTTGTGTGCTGCCATCTGGTGGCAAGACTAGAAGAATCAACATCATTGTTAATATGAGGTGAAATTTACAGTCTGCAGATAAGGTGGGACTTTCACTTCAGGGGGTAGCCATGTTGACAAGAAGGTGTGAGTATCAACAGAGGGAAAATTACGTTTTGTAGTGACCCAGCCACTCCCATTCTTTATTCAGGCCTAATTTTATGGTGTCAAGTTTGCAAATTAATTCTAATTCTGCAGTTTCTCATTGAAGTCTGGTTCTGAAGATTTTTTGTTGAAGAATGGCCACTTTTAAATCTGTTATTGAGTGTCCAGGGAGATTGACGTGCTCTCCTACTGCTTTTTGAATGTTACAATTCTTGATGTCTGATTTGTGTCGATTTAATCTTTTGCGTAGAGACTGTCCGGTTTGGCCAATGTACATGGCAGAGGGGCATTGCTGGCACATGATGGCATATATCACATTAATAGATGTGCAGGTGAACAAGCCCCTGATGGTGTGGCTGATGTGGTTAGGTCCTATGATGGTGTCCCTTGAATAGATATGCAGACAGAGTTGGCAATGGGGTTTGTTGCAGAGACTGGTTCCTGGGTTAGTGTTTCTGTTGTGTGGTGTGTAGTTGCTGGTGAGTATTTGCTTCAGGTTGGGGGGCTGTCTGTAAGTGAGGACTGGCCTGTCTTCCAAGGTCTGTGAGAATGAGGGATTGTCCTCCGGGATAGGTTGTAGATCCTTGATGATGTGCTAGAGAGGTTTTAGTTGGGGGCTGTAGGTGACGGCTAGTGGCGTTCTGTTACTTTCTTTATTGGGCCTGTACTGTAGTAGGTGATTTCTGGGTACCCTTCTGGCTCTGTCAATTACAAAAAGGAATTTTCCCTCTGTTGATACTCACACCTTCTTGTCAACTGTTGGGAATGGGCCACATCCATCCTGATTGAATTGGCTTCATTAGCAGTGATGCCCCACTCGGTAAGGCAAATCCCATCTTTTCATGTGCTGAATATTTATACCTTACTACTGTATTTTTCACTCCATGCAGCTGATGAAGTGGGTTATGGCCCATGAAAGCTTATGCCCAAATAAATATGTTAGTCTCTAAGGTGCCACAAGGACTCCTCATTGTTTTTACTTTCACTTCAGTAATTCATAGGCCTCATGCCGGCCCTCAAAAGGAGGTAAATGTCATCATAGAATCATAGATTATCAGGGTTGGAAGGGACCTCAGGAGGACATCTAGTCCAACCCCCTGCTCAAAGCAGGACCAATCCCCAACTAAATCATCCCAGCCAGGGCTTTGTCAAGCCTGACCTTAAAAGCCTCCAAGGAAGGAGATTCCACCACCTGCCTAGGTAACCCATTCCAGTGCTTCACCACCCTCCTAGTGAAAAAGTTTTTCCTAATATCCAACCTAAATCTCCCCCACTGCAACTTGAAACCGTTACTCCCTGTTCTGTCATCTGGTACCACTGAGAACAGACTAGATCCATCCTCTTTGGAACCCCCTTTCAGGTAGTTGAAAGCAGCTATCAAATCCCCCCTCATTCTTCTCTTCTGCAGACTAAACAATCCCTGTTCCCTCAGCCTCTCCTCATAAGTCATGTGCTCCAGCCCCCATCATTTTTGTTGCCCTCCACTCAGGGCCGGCTCCAGGCACCAGCTTGGCAAGCAGGTGCTTGGGGCAGCGGCTCGGAAGAGGGGCGGCACGTCCAGCTATTCGGCGGCAATTCGACGGATGGTCCCTCGCTCAGAGCGAAGGGCCTTCCGTCGAATTGCCGCCGCAGATCGCGATCGCGGCTTTTTTTTGGGGGGGCTGCTTGGGGCAGCCAAAACCCTGGAGCCGGCCCTGCCTCCACTCTTTCCAATTTTTCCACATCCTTCTTGTAGTGTAGGGCCCAAAACTGGACACAGTACTCCAGATGAGGCCTCACCAATGTCGAATAGAGGGGAACGATCACGTTCCTCGATCTGCTGGCAATGTCCATACTTATACAGGCCAAAATGCCTTTAGCCTTATTGGCAACAAGGGCACACTGTCAACTCATATCCAGCTTCTTGTCCATTGTAACCCCAGGTCCTTTTCTGCAGAGCTGCTGGCTGTATTATTCACACAATATGGAGAGTAAGATACACAGGTGAAATGCTTTAGGAACACACCTGTATTACAAAAGGCACCTGTTAAACGGAGGTCAGTGTTAGTTACCAAGGCTGTTAGACCAGTGGTGGGCAACCTGCAGCCCGTGGGCTGTAGGCGGCCCACCTGGGTAATCTTCTGGCAGGCCGTGAGACAATTTGTTTACATTGACTGTCTGCAGGCATGGCCGCCCACAGCTCCAAGTGGCCACGGTTCGCCATTCACGGCCAATCGGACCTGCAGGAAGTGGAGCGGGCCGCAGGGACGTGCTGGCCGCCGCTTCCAGCAACACCCATTGGCCGGGAGGTTTTGTATACATTATTATCTCTGAACTGCTAATGCTCAGCCAAACAGCACCCCGATCCAGTCGGCACAGTCTGAACAGGATGGGGTTTTCTTCCAGGCCATCAGGTGGTTTCTGTGCTCCCATTAGAGCAGAGGTATCTGGGTTTCCCAAGGAAGATGTTTGGTTAATTGTATGTTGGTGGTGGGGAGTAAAGGGGAGGTACAGAGAAGGGTGTTGCAGTGAGGAGCCCTGGATGCTGACACGGAGCACTGAGCCCTAAGTCACTGTACAGCAGCTACACTGACGCTGTGATGATCTTCACAGAAATCTGCTATTGCAGACACCCAGAGCGGGGAGGTTTTTGTATTGGTCTGTATCACTGTGAGAGGTGAGCTCTCAGCCTGCAGACAATAGTAATCTCCTGCATCATCGGCTTCAACGCTGCTGATTGTGAGAGTGTAATCGGTGCCAGACCCACTGCCACTGAACCGGGCTGGAACTCCAGAGGCAAGTGTAGAGCCCCAATAGATAAGGAGCTTAGGAGCTTGTCCGGGTTTCTGTTGATACCAGGAGATATAGTCGCTGTCAAGGCTAGAACTGGCTGTACATCTGATGGTGACTTTTTGTCCCGGAGACACTGAGAGGGATTCTGGAGACTGAGTCATTGTGACCTGCCCATAGGAGCCTGGATTAAGTATGAAATCAAAATAAATACAGAGAAAAGATCATTGATAGTGGGCAACAATAAATAATAGTGATTGACATTTGCATCTTTATAGAATGGTATGAAATGCATCATATAATACAAGATGTTCACAATCGTTATAGTCAAGCCATAACTGTGATGAATTACTTATTTAATGGCCAATCTAGCTACAATGTTTTGAATTTTTAAAATTTAAATGGATCATTGTACATTTTAGCAAGTGCCGTTCGGTTCTGATTCTTACCCGGAATCCACAGCGCCAGTAACCAGATCAGCTGAGTCTGGGAGAACATCTTGGTATGTCTGAGCTGGCAGATGCTGCTCAATAAACCGTGGAGAGTGGAACAAAATCTTTTATAGCCTCCAGAGCAACAGGGCAGTGTCACTGGGGAGTTCACATGCAAAGCAGCCCATGTGAGTGGGATCCTGGCCTCCCAGGTGTGACTGTACATAGAGCTGGTTTCTGTGCATCATCGCAGTGCATGATGCTCACTTATCCTCCTGGGGGAGGGGGGTACTCTTGTGGGTCAGGCACAGGAGACCTGGGGTCTGTTTCTGTTTCTGCCAATGTGTGACCTTTGGCTTATCGTTGTGGGCTGGATCTTGTGCAGTACGGAGCACTCTCAGTTCCCATTTCAATGGGATGACCTGTGTGAATAAGGGCTGTGGGATCTGATCCTATGCACCCAATCCTGGTCCTGCTGATGTCAAAGGCAAAACTCCCAGTTATTTCAGTGGCAGAGGAATAGGTCATTAAATTTGTCTGTGCCTCATCCTCTCTCTCTGTAATATGGGGAAGGTGATGCCCCCTGGGTGTGCCTCTGAGGCGTGATTAGTGTTTGTAAAGTGCTTGGCGATCCTCAGGAAGATGGTGCTGGATTAGTACAGGGGGTGAACATGGACCTAATCCCTCCCCCTCTACCATGGATAGGTAAATGGTGATATTGGCCTTTTATACAAGACAGTAAGGTGAGTAAGTCTCATCATACTTAGTGTTTTTTTAAAGTTCCAGCTCCTGGGGTCAAGTAAGTATGTGACAATTTCCGCTTTTAAGAAAATATTGTTTCCAGCCCACTTGGTTGTGGAGCAAAGTCTGAAAAAAGGAAATCCTGAAGGCAAGTAAAAAGGAGCCATAATTTAGTATTTATACAAATCTTGTGATGTGTTGGGCCCTGACTTGTGATTTGTGAATGGCTGGGCCGGCAATGCAGCATTCAGGGATGGTTCCTGTTATCCCACCACTTCACTTACTATGCCTGAGTCCTGGCAGAGAGTGAATTTAGACACGCTCAGGGGCAGTA